AAAATTCGTTTTTTGGTTTTATTTTTCGAATTTTGTTTTTTGTTTTTTTTTCCACAAAATTCGGGGAGCATGGTATTAGTATATGGCTATACTAGTATATGGCTGTTCATAAAAATAACAGAAAAAAAACGAAAAACAAAACTGGCGTGTATTCATTTGAGGCATCATTTTCTAAATTGATTTTTGTCTGGTTGCTCCTGGTAGTGCTTAGTATATAGTGAGTGCGAAATCCGTTGCCCTGGTACCTACTCACAGTACAGGTCCCTAGTCCCTAGTTTCAATCCAGGAATTAGTATGGTTGTCTAGCACATTATTATCTTTACACTATTAGTATAATGTAAATGCCAACGCAATACTAAGTACTTATTTGGAACATAACCTTTAAAAAGTTAACATTTTCATATTAACGACACCACAACTTCGAAATTTCATTTAACCAATTTCCTTTGCTTTAAAGTTCGGTATTTGCTACAATATGAATGATTTCATCCTCCTTAAGAATTGATTACTCAAAACCTTATAATTCCCACTTGCGTCACCAGAGAACACAGGCCACCGCAGGATACCTTAGTTATTACTTAAGTAAACAATTTCTTAAGCAACAGTTGACTCATGGTCTCAAAAAGGATAGACGTGTGAACGAGTGACCGAGTTCGTTGTACAGATACATTCATCAGGTTAATGACTTTATGACTCATTTTTGCCCAACACTTTGACCACGTCAAGTCCAACAGCGACGTAAATTGGAACTAAATGACGGTGAAGGGGAACAACGCTCCCCACTTCCCCGTAGCGCGTTCCCTCGTCTTTCGAGACGCCTCTTGGTCTCTACAATTTATTGTTGACCAAAAAACAAGTTTGCGTTCTTGAAAGGTCGCTAGATTTTATTAACTTAAAGGTGAGGTTAGAATGTTCGTATGTACCTGCATCAATGTTTTAATTTCTTTTAAAACTTGCTGACATAGCTTTAGAATTGCAGTTTTTTCTTATTTTTGCATTTTTGTAAGGGAAGTCGAAAAGGCTATCAGTGCAAAAATGGTGTAATTCACATTATTATTTTATCTTTTTTTATATCAAGTGACGGGACGAACAAGTCGTGCACCTGCTGGTAAGCGACACCTCTGTCCATAGCAGTTGCAATACCACTAAGAGCTTTACACGCAATTTCCACTAAGCGGCTGGTCGCGGGCGGTTGGATGCGCAGGACTCTTATTTATTCAAATAAATCATTATACCATACCCATTGATGCGACGCGACTCTAAAGCAAACCAGAGTCGCGCGTGACCAGCCGCTCGCGGCTACTCGCTTAGTGGAAAATGACAATAAAGTCGCAAAGATACGAGTTACCCTAAGACATATTTTGATAAGTTGCATAAGATCCATGTGTGGCAGTACTTCCGTAGACAAACTCTTTCACAAGGAACTCTACTGCTACTTAAAGTCTTTTTCTTCAATATTGATACTAAAGTACATTATTATCACGTGTTTGAACGCTATTTCCTTGTGTCAAAAAATTATATAAATTGGTCATATCTGAATAAATACCATGTATAAAATTAGTTTTATTTTATCCCTCATTAACTTCTATATGCATTTCATGGGGCTACACTACTTTTGCCCTGATAGTCTTCTTATTGTACAGATAAGATATCTGCTATTTCAGACTAGAGGCCCAAACCACAATAGTTAATTTTTCATCTTTATCAGACTTATCACACAGCTGTATTCTGTATGATATTTTAATAAAAAAGATCGAACATAAAGTTACGAGTACACACGAATACTACAAGACTGTGTGTTGAATAAAAGAAATTTGGTAAGGTGAGTAATCGTGGCATACTTTCACTGGTTTATAATTGTGAGTGGTTTCCATAACCATGAGTGGGAACAGCCACTATCGTTTTATTTGTTGAAACTTATAGTAAACGTTCAATGGATAAAACCTAACCTTTTTACACCATCAACTCTATAACTGATAGCACTAAAGTTTAGTGACAGTAGAACTCATTGTGAAAGAGTTCGTCCAGGGAAGTATCAACCTATTTCTGCCGCTAAGCAGTAATGTGAGCATTACTGCGTTCCAGTTTTGAAGGGTAAGGTTGCTGATGAAATTACAGGCAAATAGAACTTGTCAACTTATGTCTCAAGGTAACAGGCACAGCGGCAGTGCCACTCAGATCTTTGCGATTTAAAGATCTGAAAGAACACGACAGGCGTGTCGTATACCACCAAGCGCACAACTTGTTCATCTTGTCACTTAGAATCTTAAAAAAATGAGGAAAGTCCGTGAGAATAATCCGTTTGGCTATTTCAGGTTGTTTATACATATGGTATTGTCAGATAAGTATAAATAATTAATTATTTATTTTCTCGTGTATTAGATAAGAATAAAAAAAATGTCCTTTTAAATTAGTATAAGAATAAAAAATGTCCTATTACGAAAAATAATTCCTAGAATATCTTATTCATTCTTGTCCGGGCAATCTGCTTTGTGATTGAGTAGTAGTGTTTAATCAATTTAATGATTTCAATTGTAATTTGCGTTCTAGTGTAATGATATTTTTAAATTGAATTAAAATCATAAGTGAGAAAGTTAAACTTAGAATCGTCACGTTAAAAAAATTTGAATACGTAAGTTTCTTATTTTTGTACAAAAAAACAAATTTATTAGAAATTGTACAACTAAAAAGACGACCATTAACGTCAAAGAGTCAACTAGCGCCACAATTTCTAGACCCGAAATATAATAACAGGTTAATACCATTTTGATTGGCGAAAAAGGTAAACTTCAAGAAATTAATCATCACTTCCATAAACAATATCAAAGTACAAATAACAATTATAATGTAATTAATATCTCATTACTCGTGTTGGTAATTTGTTCAAGGTCTTTTGCGGTTGTAAATAATTTTATGTAGAGTAGGTCACATTATAAGGTATGCAATATATCTAGGGTATTGGTTTTATGACGACACTCTAGACGTCGTAGTGTGTAGAATGTAACTATTCTAGAGCAGAATTGACATCATTTTGTTTGAAAATGTCACTTACCAATTTCGGGATTATACATATCGCACTGTTGATACAAAAGTGTATTAACTCAAAAAGTGTATTTTTTAGAAATCGATGAAACATGAATTACTCGGTTCTTTTGAAAGATCATTAAAATTTATGTTTGGGTTTAAGTTTAGCACAATTTCCTACTTGTCAGCTATATTTAAATTAAATAAAAGGGAAAATATCATTTTTCATATTTTTTAGTAAGTAGTATTTTGGCCAGAACTAGCTCACATAATGTTTTTCTGATTTTGAGTTAAGTAGATATCTTTCGATTGTTACTTATAATATTCTAACGACAGTTTTATTGACGTATTGGGAATCAAATTTCACCTTCAGCAATGATATAATCTTGAATTTCACTAATATTGAGTTACAACATTATTGTAATAGTAGTGCGAAGTGACACTTCACTTTTTTCATGATACTAAGTGACTGGGCGAACAAGTCGTGCGACTGATGATAAGCTTGCCTGTCCATAACAGTTGCAGTGCCACCCTAAGACATAAGTTGTCAAACCCCATGTGCCTGTCATTTCACCAGCACTCTTACCTTTCAAAACCGGAACGCAGTAGTGCCCACATTACTGCTTGGCGGCGGAAATGGGTAAGGTGATAGTACTTCCCTGGACGAACTCTTTCACAAGGAGCTCTATTGCTACTTAAGACGAGTTACGAACCTCCCTAATTGTCCACGTGACTCTGTATTTATTCACTTTTTTAATTTAATCTGAATGCTATCAATTTTAATTATCCCATTTCCTTATTAAATGTGTCGTAAATCAACGTCGCCTATTATTCCTTTGTATGTATACCCGCAATATGTAAATGGTTTGATATTAGTATTTTATGGTCCACATGCATCGAGTACAGAAATGAAGACGAAATAAGCGCCATCCATCTCTGGCAACTCATCACGCAAATGGGCCTTATATCACTTTTAAATATCAAATCTCGTTTTCACTGAAATCACAAATTAGAAATCTGAAATAGTATAGCGCCAACAACTCATCTGTGTGTACGTCTTCGTTTATTCCAAAAATATCTTATAGCAAAGCTCCTGTTACACTGGTCGGTTTGAAGTGAAACAATTCCCGACAATTCAGACTGGTCAATCGGAGCGCAGTTGTCACCGTAATGATATGGCAGAATAGTTTTCAAACAAGTTAAATGACATTGCGTCTCTATTTCTGGTTATGTACTCGATGTCCACATGTAATTATGAACCAAATTAAATAATACTATAATTTAGTAGGTAATAATCTCAGTACAGAGTACTAAAAAAACCGACCTCAAAAGTACATAGAATTATGGAATTAGGTAATGGATATGTTATCCATTACCAAGTTCTATTGAAATCGGTTACCGGAAAGTGCGCAAACCCGGATTTATGCCCTAGTTTGCCACTACACTCTTTACATTTTTGATATTTCATTATAGATAACATATGTATATCTAAATTTACTAAATCAGAGTATGGGGATGTACCTAATACCTCGTCCTTCCCGGACCTTTTGGACGCCACCGAAAGTGAACGACAGAAGAAAACTATCGCGTTGTAACTAACACACGCAATAGACTCGCTACGTTGAAACTGATTTGATTTATGAAGTTGCATTATTTAGTGTACACATATACTTTCATCATTTGTGGGCAGAATGGAAGGAACTAGACCGCGTAGACGATTGTGCTTAAGATGGATGGATAGATGGACGGCTCTGTAAAGAGCGACACGACCGATATCCTAAGAAAACCAATAAAAGAGTAAGGGCTTAAGAAAATAATATCGATACCCCCACGTAAGTTGTTGTAAGTCAAAATACCATTTTTTTACTTTTTATTATTATATAATGTCGAAAGTCATACATGTTGTTTCATTTTAAACCAATTTTAGAACAATCTGTATTAGGTAATTTTATTTTATTTTTTTTAATAGAACTTACTTTAGGAGCAGATATCTCGTGAAAAGAGCTGGGACGTGGGGCAGGACCAGCTGTCGCTCCTACGCAATCCACGGGTACGCTGTAATCAGCACACAATGCCGCCTGCAACAAACAAATAGACACATTATAAATTATTCAAAAACAAAACATTTACATTGATTTTTATTGAATATCCTGATGATGTTCATTTATTTTTTGTGAAATTAGTTTGTTACCTCACTGGTTTGTTGTAATTATTACGTATGTTTGTAAGCAGTAGAGCCCCTTGTGAAAGAGTTCAAGTTTAAAGCTCTGAATGGCACTGCAACTGTTATGGATAGGCGTGTCCCTTACCACCAGGCGCATGACTTGTTCGTTCAGCCACTTAGTATGTCGATGAGGTCAAATGAATTTTTCTTTGTACTTGATCTTTGTATTAATAATTAAGACACATATAATTAATTAAAGTGAAGCAGAAAAAGAAAAAGCCCGAGCAGCTAGTGAACTGCGTTTTTTTTACTTGATATAATGGATCTTATAACTGAGATTATTTTCCATCGCTCTGAATAAAAGATGGAGGTAGAAAAGTATTCACCAAATATCAGTATAGAGGACTTACAACACCGACCTCAAAAGTCGTGGAAATATGTCTATTTGCCAAGTTTTATTGAAATCGGTTACCGGAAAGTGCGCGAAACCGGATTCATCCCCTAGTTTCCCACCCTTAGAGGTGGAGTATTTTCTTCAAATTTAAATGTGACCACTACTGAGGTATCCTCTTTCTAACAAAAAAAGAATCATCAAAATCGGTTCACAAATGCTAGAGTTATCGCGTAACATACATACAAAAAAACATACAGTCGTAACGAGAACCTTGTCCTTTTTTCGAAGTCTGTTAATAATGTGATTAAGTGCTGCGAAATCTAACCTGTAACCCAAATAATCACCAGCTTCAAAATCGTTACTTAAATAACTAATGCTCTTTTAATAAGTTTTAACGAATAACCCACAATAAAGCAACTCTTAATTCTTAAATTAAACCAGCCGGTCATCGGAATCCAATTTCCGCTTGGACAACAAATCGGGCTGAATATCGTCTGGAACCAATAAAAGCTTAGAGGAAACATAAAGGGAATCTACCCTCATTTGCAAGGAGTCGAAATTAATTGGACGCAATTATCTTTTTGTTTTGCCCCCTAAAATGAAACCGTCGCTACCCATTAATTATATCCCCAACTTTAGCAGTTAAAGTATTTCTTCACAATACATTTGTAAAGCTCCTGGTGTTGAGAGTTTAATCAAAGTAGGTCCAATTTATGGGTGGAAGAGAAACTTCTAAATAGTTTTGGAAAAGTTGCGAATTTGAACTCTATATCTGCCAAAGAATAATTATGACTCCAATAAGTTGAATCTACAGAAGTTTCCAGTGCAAGTGTTCAAAAAACCAAACAACGCGAATTGAAAATTCCTTCATCCAATTTAAATGGTTATTTTGAACATTTGTCTCGTATTACCTCTATAACCATATCTATATAACCAATCTAGTCCAGTAACAGTAGAGCTCTTTGTGAAAGAGTTCGTCCAAGGTAGTACTGCCACCATACCTATTTCTGCCACCAATCAACAATGTGACCATTACTACGTTTCGATTTCGAAGGGTAAGGTTGCTGGTGAAATTTCAGGCACATAGGACTTTTCAACTTACGTCTTAGGGTGACTCTTTGTGATCTTTACGATTTAAGGCTCTGAGCGGCACTACAACTGTTACGGACAGGCGTGTCGTTTACCACCACGACTTGTTCGTCTCGTCACTTGACATCATAAAAGAAGTAACGTTATAGCAGACGTTTAATAAGAAATATATCTAATATTGAAGATTCACTGTAGCCTCGCTTGTATCTATTCTTTGGACTCAGCATAGTGTGGAACTTTCATTGTTACATCACAGTTCGACCCCTTACGTGCCACACGCTGTTGAAAGAGTTCTAAAGACATTATCCCTTCAAAAAAATTTAAAGGTTTCTCCACCTTGTTACAAGTTACTAGCTTTTAGCTTTACAAGCCTTATAGTCAGGGCGTTCTATTGTAACTACTTGTACTTTGGAATCTGACTAGACGATAGTAATGACATAGATCGTTAGACTATCTATTCATATATGGATACACAACGTCAAATAGTTGTTATAGGGTGCATAGTTGGGATATTGCGCTATGCAGACAGCGTGTATATGACAGACGTGTTGGTCGTCTGGCTATTTCAGAGTTTGTGTAATATGAAATTTATAAGCATACATCCGCATTCATGGTTACCCATTGGCGGGATTTTAAGGGGGTAAATGCTTGTACAAAGAAAATGTTTGAGAAATGCTTGTAAAAATGTTTTTAAGGCAAAGAGAAAAATATTTGCATGCTATACATAGTTTTTGGGGAAAATTTACAGAAAATATTTTCAATGACTTCTAATGACGAACCAGCGCCGTCAATGAGAAATCATACAACGCTACGGCTAAAAAGTTGTTGAAAACCAATTACAAAGTCCCGAAAACAAGCATATTAAAAATTCGTGAGGATCGCTGGTTCGTTCCGTGGCTTAGTTGGCATAGCATCTGACATGGTTTGCTAGAAGACGTCGGTTCGAATCCGGCCGGATTGAAGGAATTTTTTCTAAATGTTCGATCTTTGTATTAATAATTAACATAAAAAATAATTTCATATCAATTCAACACAAATTTAAAATGTAGGTCATACAAATATGGCTCCCGGCCCGGAAATCGATTCCGGGACTTCGGCGTGGTAGACGAAGCTGTTAACCGTTCGGCCACGGAGGCAGTTACAAAACACGTAAAGAAAATAAACGTGGAAATAAATTTTAAAATAATACAATTCGTCATATATTTAAACCGCAACAGACCAAAGTTAGAAAAAGAAAAACACAATTCAACATCTACAAAAATTCCTTATCTAGCAAAGTCCACAAAACTTTATGAATTTATTACTTCGCTAATAGAAACTGAAGGAAACTCCCTGTCATCAAAGGTCCCCCAATCAGATAGACTCATGTTCATGAACCACTGGAGTGGATAGATAAAATTATCGACTACAAAGGGATGGGTAATTATTTTATCGTCTGTGTCTGTACCTATGAACTCGCTTGACTGGTTATCTTTAAAAATTCTAATAACAAAAATTCTCCAGATTTTCTACAAATGCATTATTGTAATAATCTTTTCTCTGTTTAGTATAAAATGTATAGACAATACACGAAGAAACTAAAAATACGCTGTCAGAAGTACACTGCCGGGTGTCAAAGAGACTTTTCCAGACCGCAACTTACATGGAAGTAGAAAATAAGCAAATCAGTATATAAGTAAATATTTAAGGAAAATTATGGTTGGTTAGATATTTTTTTTTGAAACAAACCTAAATTTCGGGCCGTTTACATGTTCAATGGTCACGACTGGCGGAAAAAAAGACACAATCGCGAATACTTAAGAACTCTAAGATAAGTGGAATTCATTGAAGATTCGAGAACTGGCAGCTACCTTGCCCAACGTAATAGCACAACCATACAAAGGAGTCACTGTGATAATCGTACCTACAATAACCTCACTGTACTTATTATACAACATATAACAGTGTACAGCAATTGATACTCAATATGCATTTGATATAATGCTTTGTCCTCTTTAAAAATAAACTATTCATCCCATAGTCATGGAATTAACTGGTCTTTAATATTTTACTTAGGACTTGGTATCCTCTAATTACCGTGATTTATTAACCGGCTGCGTTTGAAGAGTTAATGGAGTGATACAACGATAAATCGGTGACCTTTTTAATATTAATAGAGAAATGGGTGATAACTAAATCCCAACGATTTTCAATTTTTTTCTATTTATTTTATAAAAATAACACTTTAGGTGAAGAGTGCCCAGAATAAACAAACGTACGAAAAGTCTGATGATGCGTGTTGAAAAAAGAAGAAGGTATACGCTGTGCCCCAAGATAATTGACCCCTAATCCGACCTTTTGGTTCTGAGAGCCGTTTTACGCATTAAACAGAAAAAAAAATTAAAGGAATCTCAACTCTATAAGCTATACAGTCATTCTCTAATGAGACAATCAGGAAGTCATACTAAAATGAATTTTACGGCAAACTGGTTAAAAATTAATTCGAAGCATTTCTCCATATTTACGTGTTTAGAACCAAAAGGATGGTTAGGGCAACATATAGAATTTGTGTGTAGGTGTAGCTCTACCTACGCCGTTGGAGAACAGGTGTGAATGTAAGTATATATGTGCGTATATCCAACCCAATTATCCCAGCAACAGTTACCATTAAAAATTTATTGTTCTAAGCATATATTAAGGTTTAGTTTTCAATACAAGCAATGGCGAGAACGCCGCATAATGTTATAGGTAGTATACAAACACTGACACTTGTGTTAATGACGACGCAGACTGTAATCCTTAAATCATGTCCACATGACCTCCTACCGTGTTTAGGGATTTGTAGGTGTGACTAGAGCTTAGACAATATATGTGCGTACATATATGTACAAATGCATTGTTCATTATATTTACATGAATTTTGCAGTATCGGCTAGCGACTGACTAGCATTTATATGGAGTATTTTGTTTCTTTCTAGGATCGCCACGAGGGCTATAGAATATGCTAGACGAAGTTGTGAAATAATGTATGTGGTCGCTGTCGTGAGCTGTAAACAGATGTTTTAGATTTAAATCGTGTGTGTGTTGTAGATTTAAATCGATTTCAAAAAAGGAAATTATAATGAATGGAAACTATGTAACTGCATAGATAACATTTTTTAAATAATTTTAAGTATCATTTTTAAGAAATGAGTTAAAAATTATGTGAAAAGCAAAAAAATTTGGTTTCTTTTATTAATTTGAACGACTTACCTGATGACTAAGCGTAAATTACAAACTCAATTTAATATCAGTGCTAAATTCGATTCATAATTGTTAGTTAAACCTTTTGAGTTCACATTGAAGGGTTTCCGAGAGGGTAGTTAATTACATTTCAGGTCGTCTAGCATTTCCGCCGCATTCACAACTCTGACCACTCACATGTTTGTATACCTGGCTTCTATTATTTACCG